GGACAAATATTCAAACAGCAGGTTTTAAAACGAACAAGAAAAAAAGTATTTTTATACTGACCATAAAAAAGAATTCATTGTCTACATATCCTTACCATTAAAAACGAGCGAAGAGCATCTCCCCTTCAGTAAAAGATGCATCCCTCTTACCTTTGATGAGCACAATGAATAATTAAGTCTACTTCTAAAAGCTCAACTATTCCTCCATAAGTTACTTGTAAGCACTAGTTAGCAATCCATCTACCAATCTATACTTATTTCCAAAGATAGGCACTAATCACTCAAACATTTGTGATAGGTTAATGGTACAGCTCTGTTCCAACCAGACCCTCCGCCTCTTCTTGATGCCACTTTCCCCCCTGTCCCATATAGTAATCGGTGGTATTACAACAGCTAACACATACAGTACTAGCTATGTGCCATGTAACGCTCTAAACATCTTACATATTAATTCATTTACTCTTTGTATCAACATTAAAGGTAGGTACTATTGTTATCCCCACATTAGAGAAAACCTCTCAAACATCTCTGGAATATATCCCCTCCTAAATATGCCACAGACCCTAGCCTTTTTTCCAACAGACTGTGTTAATAGTCTAACTGGTAGCTGCCTCTCGTACCTCACTCCTTAACTCTCAATCCATCCTCCACACTGCCTTCAGGATTTTTCTATGCTAAATTAATCACATTAGTCTCTACATAAACTCTTTCATAATTCCTGACTACCTATAAAGTACATTCAAAACCCAAAACTCACACAAGACCATTGACAACCAGGTGGATACCATTTGCCTTTCTGCTCTTAACTCCTACCTCTTCCCTACCATACCCTACCCACTTTCTAGGCTTTAGTCTTGCAAACTCCTCACTCTCCCCTGAACATAGTGGACTAGAACACTTGCATTCCTGGCAAGTGCCATTTCCTCTGCCCAAAATGCTCGTTTGCTCCTTGCCAGCCTGGCAACTCTTTCTTTCAAGACTCTCTTCAAGTGTCACCTTCTTTTTTTTTTCTTTTTTAAAAAATATATTTTATTGATTTTTTACAGAGAGGAAGGGAGAGGGATAGAGAGTTAGAAACATCGATGAGAGAGAAACATTGATCAGCTACCTCCTGCACACTCCCTACTGGGGATGTGCCAGCAACCAACGTACATGCCCTTGACCAGAATTGAACCTGGGACCCTTGAGTCCGCAGGCTGGTGCTCTACCCACTGAGCCAAACCGGCTAGGGCAAGTGTCACCTTCTTTATGGAGCCTTTTCCGACCACTGCAGACCCTCTCCCCTGGGTACCCACTGTTCGCCCCTCTAATAGCACACAGACCGTAACTATTTCTGTAAGAACGCTACTTCTTCCCAGAGCATGGGATCCATAAGGGTAGAGTACATTGTTAGTGCATAATACATAGTCTGGCAAATGATATACATTTAATAAACAGTGAATGAATGAATAAAAGATAAACACTTGTTCACAACTCTCTGCATCCAAATGGTGCAATATATGTCTGGTCATTTTCTACTATCCTACCCAACATCAGAATTCAATTTACAACTTTTCTTACAACCAAAGACAACTATCCCATCTTCACTCTAAAGTAATTCATAAGATAATTATAAATCTCAGAACTCCCCTTACACATGAAGAATCCTAAATTATACACTAAAGCTTTTATAGATAAATTTTCTTCAGTGAATAATACTAAGTGAAGAAAAAACTAATCCTAACTGAGGGGAAACCCCAGATCCATTAGCCATTTCTGTGTAGTGTTAGCCTTCACATACAATATAAGCAGAACTATGTAGTTTCTGAAGCTATAACCTATTTGGATTCTCCAGGCAGCCTGAGAAATCCCCTGTAGCTTTAGACAAATCTAGAAGCCTTCAGAATGCTCCACCAAACACAGCTTTGAATTACTGTTTTTCATTACTGATGCACTTTCTACTGAACCCTGCTGTGAGATAAAATGGAATTACAGCAGCATTACTAGCTATAGAATGATGGAGAGATAGACAAGGTTTTAATATACTTCTTGAACTTGCAGACAGTGAGACATCTTTGAATCTTAATGAAAGAGAGGACAGTGAAAAAATAAGGTGCAGTTTATCTGCAGATCACATAGATGAGAAATACCTTGCTGATGCCTCTGAGCAGCTAAACCCTACATTAAATGCTCAAGCTTAGGGAGCAGAAGCCCAGGGATGATGGTGATAATGTCTGCAGTCAAACAACATTTCTTATATAATTGATCAGCACAAAGGAAGGTGATTTCAGGAAATGCTGTCCTAAAAGGTAAATTTACATTACTTTGGAGCATCAAGGGTGAGGTCAAAGACAAGAATGCTACCAAATAGAGAAAAGAGGCCAACTATTTTAAAGGAAGAAAAGAGAAGTTCAAGGAAGAGTGAGGGAAGGACAGGATAAGACCTGGGAATAGAAAACTTGTCTGTTGTATTAAAAATGTGACCTTCACGACAATGTTTAAAAGTGAAAATTAATGGCTGTGGTAGACAGAATGACCCTCAGTGACCCTCACTTTTATATAATCCTCTCTCCTTTGATTGTGGGTGGAACCTGTGAATATGATGAGACATCACTGCTGGGATTATACTGTACTAGAGGCCTGGTGCACGAAATCTGTGCACTCAGCGTGGTGGGGTGGGGGGTGGGGTCCCTCAGCCCAGATTGCGAGAGGGCACAGGCCAGGCCGAGGGACCCCACCGGTGCATGATCAGGGCTGGGAAGAAACTCCGCAGGTTGGCCAGCCAGGGAGGGACCATGAAGGATTCCAGGGTGTGTCCGGCCTGTCTCACTCAGTCCCAAATGGCTGGACCCCACCAGCAAGCTAACCTACCAGTCAGAGCATCTGCCCCCTAGTGGTCAGTGCACATCATAGCGACTGGTTGACCAATTGACTATCTGCCCCCTGGTGGTGAGTGCACATCATAGCGAGCAGTTGAATGGCCTTAGCATATCATTAGCATATTATGCTTTGATTGGTTGAATGGCCAACTGGACAATGGGACACTTAACATATTAGGCTTTTATTATATAGGACTAGATCATGGTATAATGTTTAATTTCAAAGAAAACAGTATATAAAACCATATACAAGACACATATTATTTTTTAAATGTATGTGTGCACACATGCACACACAAATATACCAAAACATTATCTCCCAATGGTGAGGTCATGGGTGACTTTTGTTTTGTTTGTTAATCCGCACTCAAGGATATTGTTCCATTGATTTTTAGGGAGAGTGGAAGAGAGAGGGAAAGACAGAGAGAAATATTGATGTGAGAGAAACACATCAATTGGTTGCCTCTTGCACAAGCCCCAACCAGAGTCCAGGCCAGGTAGGTGCCTGCAACTAAGATACATGCCCTGGATCAGAATCAAACCCGAGACCTTTTGGTCCACAGGCCGACGCTCTATCCACTGAGCCAAACCAGCGAGGGCCATGTGTGACTTTTTATTAACCCTTTCTGTATTTTCTAAATTTTCTATAATAAATATACATTACTTTCATAATTATTTTAAAAATCAATAATATTTCTTTAAATTACCTAAAAGTATATACAAAAGGAGTTTTAAAATGTATTTTCTGCCTGGCCAGGTGGCTCAGTTGATTGGAGTTTCATCCTGTACACCGAAAGGTTGTGGGTTCGATTCCCAGTCAGAGTGGGTAAGGGAAGCAACCAATCCATGTTTCTCTCTCACATAGGTGTTTTTCTCTCTCTCCCTCTCATCCCCTCACATCTTTCTCTCCCTTCATCTCTCTCTAAAAATCAATAAAAACATATTATCAGGTGAGGATTTAAAAAAACACTTATTTTGTAATCTAAATTATCTGCTATTATCTTGGTTACAAGCATTTCACTGTTATCCTATATAATAAAAGCTTAATATGCAAATTGTCCCCTCAGGCAGTGGTTCAACCGGGAGTTCAACCAAGAAACCGGAAGTTCGACCACTTGCTATGACGTGCACTGACCACCAGGGGGCAGCACGGAACATGGTGGGCGTCAGCAACACGGTGCTGGCAGCGAGCGGCAGTGGAGGCGCTGCCGGCCCTGATGGGCCCCGAGAGCGAGACCACGGCAGAGTGGGACCGTGGCGGGATGGCGGAACCGCAGCACCAGCGGTGGCAGTGGGGGGCGGGGCCGCTGCCCAGCTAGGTGCTGAGGGAGCTGGGCGGCCCACACCGTCCTGCAGACAGTAACCAGTAGCGGTGGCAGCAGGGGCCTGGACCTAATCGATCGCCCTGCAGGCAGGATGATGGAGCAGGTGAAGGGATGGTGCCAGGCCACAGCAGGGTGCCAGGCGGGACTGCAAGCACCAGCGGTGGCAGTGGGGGGCGGGGCCGCTGCCCAGCTAGGTGCTGAGGGAGCTGGGCGGCCCACACCGTCCTGCAGACAGTAACCAGTAGCGGTGGCAGCAGGGGCCTGGACCTAATCGATCGCCCTGCAGGCAGGATGATGGAGCAGGTGAAGGGATGGTGCCAGGCCACAGCAGGGTGCCAGGCGGGACTGCAAGGCTGGGAACATGAGCTGGAGCCTGATCTCCACAGGCCACCCCAAGGGACCCCACCTGTGCACGAATTCGTGCACCAGGCCTCTAGTGTAAGTATAAAAATTCCACATGCAAATTGTTTTTTGTTACTAACCCCAAATAAGCCATGACTGTCCAGAGGTGGAAGATCTACAGATAATGACATCTCATTAACATTGCCATCCATAAGGTGCAGGATAGTATGTATATTAAGATGATCCTTTTGTGTCTTAGAATTTTTAAAGAATATTTCAATAATATATAGACACTTATGTGCTGATATTTCTACAGTTTTGTTTTGTTTTGTTTTCAGCTTAGAATTAAAAGAAACCACCAGAAATGGTTACCTTTTTGGTAGAAGAAATTTGTATCTACTGTTTCAATTATGAACCATATCTGTACTCTTCATTTTTCTTTTAAACTTTTTGATTTGTTTAGTTTGCTACTTACCATGGAGCACTTCTCTAGTACTTCCTCCTGGAACTTCAGGAATCGTTCCTGAACCTCAGCTTCATTGAGGAAAAAGGAAAGAAAGTGAGTGAAGGGCTGCTTTCTTCTAAAAGTGAGCAAAAGAACATCAATCCGAGTTCGGGCTGAAATCACACCACTTCGATGCTGGCCAGTGATTACTGCAAACAAAAAAATATACGATTAACCTACTCAAGGACCATCAAATGCTTGTAAGATAGGCGACCTCCTGATACTGTCATATGTGGGGAGCTGCTGAATGTGTACATAATTCTAAACAGCGGACAGAATCAAGAGTAAGAAACTTAAAATGAATTCAATCTAAGCAGATGAGGTCTTAAAACAAAAAATCCTTAAAGACCAGCTGATGAACTAGAAAAATGAGCTACAAAGCAAAAGTTACAAAGCAAACCCTCATACTTTGTTGGTGGAAATGTAAAATGGTGCAGCTGCTATGAAAAAGTTTGGCAGTTCCTTAAAAAGTTAAAAAGGGCCTGGCAGTGTAGGCTCAGCAGTTGAGCTTCGACCTATGAACCAGGTGGCCATGCTTCAATTCCCAAGCCTGGTTTAGGGGCTTGATCCCCAGTAGGGGGCATGCAGGAGGCAGCCAATGAATGATTCTCTCTCATCCTTGATATTTCTCTCTCTCTTCCTCTCTTAAATCAATAAAAAAAATATATATTTTTTAAAGTTAAAAAGGAATTACCATATGACTCAGCAATTCCCACACCTACATAGAAACCCAGCCTAGCCAGTTTGGCTCAGTGGATAAAGCGTCGACCTATAGACCAAAGGGTCCAGGGTTCAATTCTAGTCAAGGGCACATGCCTGGGTTGCAGGCTCAATCCCCAGTAGGGGGGCGCGCAGGAGGCAGCCAATCAATGATTCTCTCTCATCATTGATGTTTCTATCTCTCTCTCACTCTTCCTTCCTCTCTGAAATCAATACAAATATATTTTTAAAAATAAAATAAAAATTATTTATGTATTACTATAGGATAGCAAAAATGGGGAACATATTCAACTGTCAATGGTGATTAGGTCTGGGTTTCCTATTATAAAAGATTTCCCTTTATACCAGTATATAATTTCTGCAAGTTTCCATGTTTAAAGCATACAGTAATTATAAAATTAGGGGGGGAAAATAGATAAATAAGCTTAAATGCAATTATAAAATATTTCAATATTTGTAACTTGAACTTTAAAGCTTAAGGAAAGACCTAAGTTTTTTATTTGTAAGTCTTTTTTTTGTTGTTGTTAACCCTCACCCAACAATATTTTTTCCATTGATTTTTAGAGAGAGAGGAAGGGAAGGAGGGCCGAGGAGAGAGAAAGAAACTTCGATGTGAGAGAAACACATGGATTGGCTGCCCCCCACACAAGCCCTGACCAGGGCCAGGAATTGAACCTGCAACCCAGGTACAAGCCCTTGACTGGGAATCAAACCCTCAACCGTTCAGAGTGTGGGCCAATGCCCTAACCACTAAGCCAAACCAGCCATGGCTTTATTTGTAATTCTAATGAACTGAATGTTTATTTTTAAAAAGTCCTTTATAAATGTCATTGAAGTTCTTAGGCTGGAGTTTACTGAAGTTACAAGATGCTGGGGAAAACTCTAGTACTGTGCTGTCCAATACAGGAGTCCACATGCAGCTAGTTAAACTAGAGGTTAAATGAATTAGAATTAAATAGAACTACAAATTCAGTTCCTCAGTCACACTAGCCACATTTCAAGTACTCACTGTCACATGTGCCAGTGGCTCCTGTGCTGGACAGGGCAGACATAGAACATACCATCATCACAGGAAGTTCTTTTGGACAGCACTGCTCTAAAGTCAACTGTTACTTATCTGTCACAGTGATTATTCTTACATAGCACAAAATAAGAAGAGTACTTGAATTTTTTTCTCCTAAAACAATACAATCTGTGGGTGTTAATGGAAAATAGATTATTGAAGGTTGCTGAACTTAGTTATTTTTTAGAAGTCCTATAGTTTTAGGATGAATTTTTTAAAAATTTGTCCCCACACTGACCTTCACTCAAAGCTGTTGCCCTTGGTTCACACTGATGTTTGGTACAGACATTTTCTGACTTTTTTTATATTACCAAACTATTTTTCCTCACCTGAGCAGTTATTTGAATCACGCTGGCATTTTAATCACTACTCAGAGTCTACAAAGCAAGGTAAAAACAAGCAAACACTTATGGAAAGGGCTGGACTTTATTTCAAATTTGCAGGTCTCATTGGTTTTCTCTAATTCTAACTTGAAACAATTCACACACTCCATTTCAAGCTACTAAAGCATACAATAAATCAAATCACAATGAAATCTGGAAGCTTTATCCCATCAGTGCCAGGTAAAGTATAAAATGAAGGCCCAGGTATTCAATCAAGATAAGGTGGTATAATTACATCTTTCCCCATTTGGTAGATTGATACTGATAAATCACAAAAAGGCCAATAGCTACAGAACCTCATAACGAATATAGTCACTAAACACCTCAGTTGGGTTACATTATTCCATACACATACAAAAATGATTGCAAATATAACGTATACACTGGGTCTCACCAATTTCTCCTTCTTGTCCAGGCTTAGGAATACTAATAGAAGTTTTGGTCTCCACCTCTAGTTTCTTCTTAGTGTCCCCTCTCTTTCCAACTATATGTCTATAATATAAAGAAAAAATTAATTACTGGAAGGAGATTGGGCAAAAATGTACCAATAAAGAATTCCATCATGTTTAAATCACCAGAGATACTCCATTACAGAAAAGTGCTTCAGTGAAAGCTCAATAAATGTAGAGGAACTTACAAGTCATATGGTTTTGTTTTGGTTTTGTGGGTGTTTTTTTGTATTGTTTTGTTTTGTTTTAATTTTAGAGAGAGATAAAGGAAGAGGAAAAGAGAGAGAGAGAAACATCAGTGAGAGAGAAACATTGACTGGCTGCCTCCTGCATACCCCCTACTAGGGATTGAGCCCATAACCCAGGCCTGTGCCCTGACAGGAATTGAATTGGTGACATCTTAGTTCATGGATTGATGCTCAACCACTGAGCCACACTGGCCTGGAACAAGTCATATAGCTTTACAGAACATACAGCATTACACTCATTGACAAAAGGATGTCCTACAGCCAAATTCAATGTAAAGGAATAATAACTATGCCTAACACCTGTTTGCTTCTTAAAATTACATTAAAATCTGAGTCTGCACTTGACTGAAAGGAAAGCTGACATAGTCTCAAAGGCAATTCCAGCAACCAATGGGACTACAGTTTGAGGGGGGAGAGCCTTGTCCTTTTGGAGTACAAGTTAACTACATTATGAATTCATCCTAAGGGAACTGTCCTTAATTAATTAAATAAGGGTAAAGAGCTTAGCAAAGAGTAGCATCCACCATTCAGGATGGATTCAAAAGCACAGAGGATAAACAGGTAAACCTCAGGAGGCTGAATTCACATAGACATGTTTTATTTGGGAGAGTTTACCTAAAAATTTGGAAATTTCACCTAAATTTAGATTTTCAGGTTCTATAGATAAATTAGAAGATATGACAACAACAGACTGAAGCCTATTCTCATCCCTAAAAATGGAACATGAGCTCATCATGAATCCCATCACTCCCTAATATCTTTCACCTACTCCACCTGATTATCTATAGATTCATTTACACTACTTGCCTAGCACTCCTAGTATAAATAATTCTGACATTCCAAAGTTATCTTCTGGAACCCATAATAATTAGATTTGTTACAGTGAATAAGACTACTGGATCCCAGGAGAGAAGTTTCAGTACCTATAAAGCATTAAGAGACCATCACTGGACTATAAAGTTAAGAGAAAAACTCCCCCATCATCAACAGTATTTTGGCTTCTATGACTTTAATACAGTACCCAGTAGCATGAGTGACTATGTCTAAAACTGTCCATTTGCTTTAATTTTTTTCAATATTATTTTATATTCGTTTCAGGTGTGCAGCATAGTGGCTAGACGCTCATATACTTTACACAGTGATCCCCTAATATTTCAAGAACCCACCTGGCACCACACATAGTTAATACAATATTATTGACTATATTTCCTACATTGTACTTTACATCCCCATTACTATTTCATAACTACCAATTTGTACTTCTTAATCCCTTCACCTTTTCATCCAACCCCCCAACTCCCTTCCCCTCTGGCAACCATCAGTATCTATAAGTCTATTTCTTTATTTTTTCCTTTATTTTGTTCTTTAGATCAGCGGTCGCCAACCAGTGGTCGGTGGACCACTGGTGGTCTGTGAGATCCAAAAGGTTGGCGACCCCTGGTTTAAGGAAACCTTTGAAGCAATGGTCGCCAACCAGTGGTCCACAGACCACTGGTGGTTCATGAGGTCCAAAAGGTTGGCAACCGCTGCTTTAGATTCCACATATAAGTGAAATCATATGGTATTTGTCTTTCTCTGACTTAGTTCACTTAGCATAATACCCATGCTGTTGAAAATGGTAAGATTTAATTAAGTCTTTTTTATAGCTGAGTAATATTCCATTGTATATATGTACCACAGCTTTTTAAAAATATATATATTTCTTTATTGATTTCAGAGAGGAAGGGAGAGGGAGCGATAGAAACATCAATGATGAGAGAGAATCATTGATCGGCTGCCTCCTGCACGCCCCCTACTGGGGATCAAGCCCACAACCAGGGCATGTGCCCTTGGCCAGAATCGAACCTGGGACCCTTCAGTCCGCAGGCCGACGCTCTATCCACTGAGCCAAACCGGCTAGGGCTGTACCACAGCTTTTTTATCCACTCATCCATTGATGGGCACTTGGGTTGCTTCCATATCTTGGCTATCTATCTTCTATATATATAAAAAGCTAATATGCTAAGTATCCAACCATCCGCACTGACCATCAGGGGGCAGACACTCAACGCAGGAGCTGCCGTGACGTGCACTGGCCATTTACAGAGAAACAGCAGCACGGACCTGGCACCCACAAAGCAACACCTGGCTTCCCCCAAGTGGGACACAAGCCCTACCACTACCCCAGAGCAACAGCCCACCAAATTGCAACTGACAATGACGAGACCTCATGGCACAAAATGAGGCCCCCAGCCCAGCCCAGCCCAGAAACGGTGGCTGTGGGCCCCAGGTAATGACGTCATGTAGCAACACCTGGCTTCCTCTCCCTAGCAACTAGCCTCCTTGAAGTTTCTTCAGCCCAGGAACACAACTTGCTTTATAGCCAGTTGCAAACATTTTACACTTTAACCAAATGTCTGTGAAGCGTTTCCACAGGCCTCATCTCATTTGATCCTCACAGAAGTTCTGGAGTAGGTAGACAGGAGACTCGGTGGAATCCTATTTTCCCTTCATTAACCGGAAAACAGAGATTTAGAAAGCTTAGAAACTTGACCCAACTGAAAAGAAAAAATGGTGGACCTTGAAAATGACTTCAGGTTTTCTCACTGTGCAGAATATAGTCAAACACTGCTGCAATAAATATTTTGCCCTTTGTTCTCCCAGCGTGATCTACAATAATAATCTGCTTCTGATATTTACTGCTGTGTTGCTGACAATTACCTGAAAGAGAAGTTGGGGTGCGTCACTGGGCTGGAAAAAGTTTAGCTAAATCAGAAAGCAGGTCTAATTAAGCAAGTTTGCTCTATATACGCCCTCTGTCCCATAATAATAGTAGCAAGTGAATATTTAAACGGGAATTATTGGCGAATGCAGCTGTAAGTTATGTTGTAGCGCAAAATTGCGAAGCCTTCAATCAAAATCAATGTTTCATGACATCTGTCATTTGTTTTGACACATCTTTCAATTTTTAGGTTAATCTAATTATTACGAATTATAACTATTTTTCTAATTTCATCCGCTGATCAAAATCAATTGTTTTATTTCAGTTGAATATCAACCCATTGTAAAAGTAAGATTGAAAAAAGAGAGTTTTCAAGCAAAGATTGAGTTGCGATTGTCCAGTTCTTGATGCATCAAAAGAAAAAGTTGTAGAAAGGTGCAATTACGTTAGCTGCAAAACAATTTAAGTGCAACAGAATGACCATATCAAGAATTTGGAAACGTGCTTCCGGAAATAATTGTCAAGGAGAATCTTATCCTAACGTTGATTCTTTGAAAAAAAAACAAAACTGTGGACGTAAATGCAAAGATTATGGAGAAAAACTTGAAAAACTTAGACATATTCCTCTTAGCAGAAGAGGCACCATACTAGCCTTTGATAATATTTCTCCCAAAATACTGGATAATACATTTCTGTCACTTCAACAAGTTATGCTGGAAGCAATGAAGAACGATGGCTCCAATAATTTTAAGCTCACGCATATAAGGAAAGCAAAGCTTCGCAGCCAAGGGATCCTACCTACAAGTTTAAAATGCAGTAACGAAATTATTAAAAAACCCAGAAACTATCTGAACACTCAAAATACAAATTAGGAGTACTATTTTTAATTTATTGTTTAATTTAATCTAGTTTTTTGATAATAAATGTTGCGTCCTATATTTATTTTCTTTTACTACTATTATTATGGGACAAATTACATTCATCAACTGCTATTATTATTATGGGACAGAGGGAGTATATAAAAGGCTAAGCTGACTCATGCAGTGATACATAGTTTTTTGATAATAAATGTTGCGTCCTATATTTATTTTCTTTTACTACTATTATTATGGGACAAATTACATTCATCAACTGCTATTATTATTATGGGACAGAGGGAGTATATAAAAGGCTAAGCTGACTCATGCATGTGTGATACATATAAAGCTCTCGCTGGCGCCAATCGCACGCGTGTTTCGATCTGTCATTGTAGATTGTGAATTTGTTTGACACATCTATTATAGAGAAAGGGTGAATAGCGATATTAAAATATTTCTTCTAATTAATTTCCTTTCAATGTGCACGAATTTGTGCACCAGGCCAGTAGTTGTAAATAAAACTACAATGAACATAGGGATGCATATTAGCATTTGGGTTTCTTCAGATATATACCCAGAAGTGGAACTGCTTGGTCACAGGGCAATTCCATTTTTAATTTTTTGAGAAACCTACATACTGTTTTCCACAGTGGCTGCACCATTTTGCATTCCCACTAACAGTGTACAAGGGTTCCCTTTTCTCCACATAATCACCAAACTTGCTGTTTATTGATATACTGATGATAGCCATTCTGACAGGTGTGAGTGTACATTTGTTTTTACATGGGTTAACCAAACCCAATTATTCCCATTAAGATCTATGGTAGCAAGCCAGTTCTAAAATTACGAGATGTTTAGAAGAGGATTAGAATTCCCCAATTTACATGTGGTTTTTCTCTGTGTTGGGCTAGAGATCCTATCACATCAACTCTGTCAGGGGTTTGTCTTTACAGGCCTTGTCAGTAAGGGGTGCTTTCAACCAGGCCCCTATTTGATAGCATGTTGTTAGTGAACAAGCCCATCATAAAAAGTGCTGGCTCAAAGTGTTGTCTACGCACCTTAGAAAGGGAAGTATTTGAAAGTTAAAGATGCTTTGGACTCAAACAAACCTTGGGCAAGTCACTTAACCACTCTAAGCCTATTTCTTCACTTATAAAAAATGGAGTGAATAACACCTAAGTATCCTAAGGTTGTTGTAAAGATTAAATGGGATCATATATAAAAAGGGCTTCCCAGTGGCACATGGCTCAGGACAGTCCATGCTATCCTCATTAAGCCCATAATGGCAGACTCCCAATTAAAATACAGACAGACTCAAAAGAGATTTACATGGAAACTCTAAAACATTCACTACAATAATACAGATAGGCGGTAAAAGGATGACTGCTTTATTAAATGTAAAAGTGGAAATTCTACCAGATTGAGTGGTTCTCAATCTTGGCTGCACCTGGAGTTCTTAAAAAAAAAACTAATGATACCTGCGTCCAGCTCCACAGATTCTGATTTAATTGGTCTGAGGTGCAGCCAGATAGCAAGAGTTTTAAAAGCTCCCCAGGTGATGCTAATGTGCACCTGAGGGTGAGAACCACAGTACCGATCTAATCCACCATTACGCTTTGGTTATAAATTAGTTTGGCCAGGTAATTTTTCCTTGATCCCAACAAGCCTACAGAAATGATTCATAAAAAGGAATCTTCCTAGTAAATACTGTCTATTAATTTGAATTTAACAGAATCAATATCTAATCTAACACACAACTCACCTGGTACAGGAGTTCTTAAAATACATAGAATTCAAAGATGATGTTGGAATCATAAATCTAAGGAATTTTTACACATCTTAGCAGTAGCAGATATGCACATTAAATAAAACACATTACATTGATTTTATCAGGAACTGAGCCACGACTTTTTCAAGTCATGTTTCTTAGAAGAAAATGTCAGTGCACTCTCCTTGCTGGGAGCATGCCCATGCTTTTCCCTCCCCTCTTTCCTTCCTCCACAGGCGTGCATCTCCTAAACTCTAAGGGACCCCACAAGACAGGAGCAATGGGCAGGGGCTGCTCATGCCAGGTTAACTCCCTAGACCTGTCTCTAAGGCCCCCCTTTTCTCTGACTTCTCAGTGAGCCAAAGCAGCCCCCATAGGCTCATTTCTTTTCTGTTTCTAGAGCCAAAGCAGCCCTGCCTAGGCTCTCTCCTGTGGCTTCTTCTATTCTAAACCCTTCCTTGTTTCAGTCCCCAGCTTTAATAAACATACTCTCAAAATCAAAAAAGAAGAAGAAAATGTCACTGGGACCCAAGAGGAAAGTGAGCTGTCCAGGGTTAACATTTGATTTCCCGTTTGGCCACATTCCAGAAGAATTTCATCCTTAAGAGGTATTTCAGAAAACTCTCAAGGTTGATGAAAATGAAACTACTGCCTCTTGGAGCTACAAATATGGTATATGACTCCATATTTGTAGATCTCTCATAAAGGAGATTGGACAGAACTAATTCATCTGGTACAACACAGAAAACTGAGAACCACAGCTGCCAAGTCACTGCAGCTCAGCAGCTCCTGCATTGAGCATCTGCCCCCTGGTGGTCATTGCACATCATAGCTACTGGTCGGACAGTCGAATGATCAGATGGCTGCTTAGGCTTTTACATATAGACTAGTGGCCCGGTGCATGAAATTTCGTGGGGGGGGGGGGGGAGGGTGTGTCTCAGCCCGGCCTGCACCCTCTCCAATATGGGACCCCTCGGGGTATGTCCGACTGCTGATTTAGGCCTCAATCCCTGGGATGAGGCCTAAACCGGCAGTCGGACATCCCTCTTGCAATCCGGGACCACTGGCTCCTAACCGCTCACTTGTCTGCCTGCCTGATCACCCCTAACCACTGTGCCTGCCGGCCCTCTCGCCCCCAACTGCCCC